AAACTTAGAGCCAGATGAGTGGAGATTAAGTGATTAGGACTACAGGCTATGTTTGGGAATCCTTGGCATATGCAAAGGCAGGGGACTCAAGAGGATTTGGATATCTTACAGTAAAAAGGGCTGGGCCAGAACTCAAGGAAACACCAAAACTGGCGCGTGTTAAGAAAGAGATGTCTACCAATGAGGTCTAGTAAATAAAGTGATGGGAAGAAACTGGATAGAATCACATTGCTGAGGACATAGCAAATGTGTCAAGAGCTTTAAATGCTGCCGGGAGGCCAGGGTGAGTGGAAACCCAGAATTTCCATGGAATTTAGCAATTAGGAGGTCAATAGTGAGGGAGGGAACCATGTGACAGTAAATTAAGGCATATGAAAAGACTTTGAAAATTGTGAAGAGCCATGGAATGAAATTCACCACTCCATAGTCTCAGCTTCTCAGTTACATCAGGTGGATAACAGAACATCAGCATTTTAAGTAGACATCCTTGGGCTCATAATAAATGCTTTTTAACACCTTTACATCCTTATCTCAAAATTTGCTTCTTGTTGGCTCCAGATTTGCCTGAAATTTATCACAAAGAAGCAAAAATACAATTGGGGGCATAAGAAAGTGTGAGGGAAAAGCTGCAAGTTAGGGGGTCACTGCTATGCAGGAATAAATAATCCTGGTGACTGGATGGCTATGCTGAAATGTGGAATTTATTCTCCAAAGGAAAAAGCTTTAATCTTAAAGTATGTTTTGGGTAGTGTTAATAGGGAAAGGGCTTACAGCAGAACAAAACAGATTTCCCAACTAATAGTTTTATCTGTTAAAAAGAAAAGGAAACTAATATAACAAGAAGAGAAGTATGGTTGCCGAGGAAACCATATCTAGAGGCTATGTGAACTTATGATAAATCAGTGTAAATATCATGGCGCATTGCAAGTAACCCATGGCTGTGTGTAGCAAGGGGACAGCTAGGGTCAGAGTTGTGAGACCCTGAATCTATTTGATTTTTTAATACTTATTAAATCAACTGAGCTCTCTGCAAATATCTAGAAAGGAGTCTCATAATGTTGTGCATTGTGGCCATGACAAGTGTTGTTCCTGAATTTGGGCTTGAACATACCTGATACGTTCCTGCCTTGACACTTACTGTTTCCTCTGCTTGGTTTCAACTTCTCCAAATGTCCAAATGGCTGTTGCCTTCATCATTCTTAGGTCTCTCCGTAAGCATTATTTTCTTAGTGAAGCCTTCTCTGACAGTTTTATTTAAAGTAACACCTGCATCTATCCACCAGCTCCTCCCTCCCTTTCCTTGCTTTATTTTTTTCTCTATAGCACTTATTACCATATAACATATATTTTATTAGAATATTAGCTCCTCAAAAAAATGCCTTTGATCACTATTATACCCTAAATATCTAGCGGAGTGCTTGGCCCATAATAGGCATTTGGTAAATATTTACTGGATGAGGAGAGGCATGAGCTTTGGCAGCTGTCAGGTTGCCAGCTCCAGAGAAGGACTGTAAAATTTCTAGAAAAGTACTTCGCTCAGTAAGGTTGCCATCAAGTCACCACATCGACTTCTTTGTTCACCAGTCTCTGTGATTCTTGCCTCTTCATTCAAAGCCTGCACAGCATTGTTCATGGTTTCCAGGAGCTTCCAGGATGTCCACTCTGGGCCTTTTCTCTGCCATCATATAAACTTGTCCTTCTTCCAAATGCCTGCTAGGTTATTGGTTGAAAACATTCCTGAGACCTAAAGATATCTAAAACATCAATGTTGGAAGGAGCTTAGAAAGCCCATTTGTCAGTCTGCACTTCTATAGATGGAGAACTCAGAAAGGTGTCACAATTTGCTTAATGCCATGCAACCCATTTGGTGAGCTGGAGCTGTTGAGGGAGGAGAAAACTGAAGTTGTATGTTATCTTCAGATATGTTATCACATATAATCCTCACAAACAATGTCGGTCTGTTGTGATTCTATGCATGGATTGAAACATAGATTATCAGAAACGTTCAATTACTTTCACCAGGCTGCTCAGTTAATGTGTGTTAAGGTCAGGTTTGTTTTTATTCCAAACTTATGTTCTATCAACTAAAGTCTATTTGTGCTGTAACTTGTGGAGAAAAGCCACACACTGGGCCCTTGCATAGGACAGTATGAAAGTGGGTAGGCACTTACATGTTTCTTTGCTTTTAGTTGCCTTCAATTTCTGATAGCTTTCACCTTTCTTCGTTACAGAAAGGTCTAAAGGTCAATCTTCATCATTTTTACTTCTCTCTTTCCTGCAGCTGCACCTGATATTCCTCTCCTTTGGCCGCTTCTATTAACTCTTAATGGTGCTCAGTTTTATGTGTGTCTAATTGTAAAGAGGAACAAGACTATTTGGTCATCCTACTTTCTCTTACTGCTGTAGTCTTCACTCCTTCTTCAACACTAGGCTTCCTGAATGAGCCCTTTGCATTTATTCCCTTTCAATTCCCTCCTCAATCCTCTGCGGTTCTGCCCTTACCACTTGCATACTGTTGCTGATAAGAGCACTAGCAATCTCTTTGTTAATAAATCCTGTGACTTATCTTCAGGTTTGTCTTATTTGACCTTTTGACAGTATTTGACATGGGGAACCACTTCATCATTCTCCAAACTCTGTCCCCTTGGATTGTGCATTAAGATGCTCTTGGGCTTTCTGCACACAATTCTCCAACTTAATAGTTCTTTGCTGGATCTCTATGGTAGATTGCAAAGATAACTTCAATAATGTCTCTTATCCATGTGCACTTGTCCCTGTACAATGCAACTTTGTTGATCCTCAATCAAGAAATGGAATTTATTTCTATGTCCATTGAATCTGATAATAATCACATGATTTTCTTTAAGGAAGTTAGCAAATAGGATTTAGAGAAATTAGCAAATATGATGCAAACAAGGACTTAAAAAGTGACTGCACAATAGGTTTGTTCTCCTCTGACTGATTGGAACTCTGAACCCATAGTGTGGATGTGCTTCATGGAGCTAACCTGCTAGTAAGGTCACATGAAAGGGAATTAGGATAGTCTGACTTCCTAATAACCAGAAGAAAGGAGACTATTTTAGATGAATCAGTCCATTTGAGTCACCAATCCACTGTAGCTATATGAGTCATTGCAAGTGAGATCAGTGGACAAAACACCTGAACAAACCTGGCACAAATTGCCAAGCTGCAAAGTATGAGTAAATAAAAGTCACTAAGTTGTGGAGTATTTGTTACGTAGTAACAGATAACTAATATAGCCTTCTATTTCATCTGTCTCTTCCATAGTAGTGTTTTCTTCTCAATCTACTCATGTTACCATGTCATATCCTCTTATCCAAATATTTAAATTAACATCAATATTCTAACAACAAATGCCATAAAACAATATCTCCAAAGCAAATATTTAGTCGATTTTTTGACTATAAAACCAACAGCCTATTGAATCTTTGCTATGCTTCTTGGATCTCGAAATTACCACATCCCATATGGAATTCACCCCCTGGAACTCTGAATGTATTCCTCCTGTTTTTCCCTGACTCAGAGAATAGAACACAATCCAGCACCTTTTTTTCAATCTGGAGACAGGATCTCTTCCTTGCCTCCTCCTGTCTCTTATACTCAACATTTAATCAGTCACCAAGTCCTATGAATATCCTTCTTAATCTCTTTTAAAATTGTTCACCTCTATTTGTCCACAGTTCCACTATGTTAATTCTAGCCATCATAATTTTCTGCCACAATTACTTTCAACATCATTTTAAACAGATGAACTCTTACCATTTGACTGCCAACCAAGGAATTCTTGAAAATAATGTATTTCAATTTTGGGCTGAAGGATATAAATAATAAATTTATTATAAATGTCTTCTATGTGTATTACATATAAATCCATTTTGTAAATTCATTAGATGAAATTTGTTATTTATGATGTCCTAATCTTCTTCATCTGACCTTGTTTTCTACTTGTTGTTCCTACTTGGGAAGAGGTGTGTTAAAAATCTCATGCTATGGAATTGTCTAATTCTTTAGGTAGTTCTATTAAATTTTGAGTTTTATATTCTGAGCCTATGTTTTTTAGACATATAAAAGTTTGAAATTGTGATCTCTTCTTGGAAGGAGTATTGAGTTTTAAAAAATCAGTATGAAGCAACCTTATTAATAAGCAGTAATGCTTTCTACCTAAAATCTGATTTTGTGTGATACAGTTTTATGTGCTGATATTTGCTTAATACATTTTTTACACATTTAATTCACAGCTTTTCTTTGCCCTCATGTTTTAGGTATGTTTTTATCTAATTTGACTATATCTTTTAACCAATAGGGTTAGTCAATTTCCATTCACAATGATTACTGATATATTTGGATTTATTCCCATTCTCTTATTTTACACTTTCCATTTGTCTAGCTTTAAATTTCTTTTTCCTTTGAATCAAATGAGGTTCCCCCACCCTCGTGATTTCCTTAGTTTTCTTGAATTATTTTGGAGGTTTAAAATTCCATTTATTTTATGTAATTGGTTGCTGTAAGTTTTTAGCATGTATGTAATTTAACAAAGTCTAAAATAAATAAAAAATTGGCCTTTTGCCCCAAAATGTAGAAAATTTGAAATATTTCATTCTCAGATACTCTCCCAGAATCTATATATTTTTACCCAAAAACTTTTTTATATTTTATTCACATTTTAACACACAAAAGGGACATTGCTATCATTGCTTTTATGATTAAATGTGTTTAGATTTATCCACATATTTTCTTTGCTTACTATTCATTAGTAGATCTCTAATCTTCCATTTGAAATTATTTTTCTTCTTTCCTGTTTCTAAAGAATACACTTTATTGTAAATATTACTCAAGTATATTATTTAGGAATTACTTTATTAAATGCCTGTTGGAAGCTAACCCATGTTTTGTTTGTCTGTAACTGTCTTTATCTTATGCACATTTAAAAAATATTGCCTTAATTGTTATAAAGTTCCTAATTGACAGCTCTTTTATTTCAGTACGTTAAATGGATTCCACCGTTACTGCTGGGAGTCAGCCATCAGTCTACACATCATGACTCTGGAGGTAATCTGGTTTTCTCTGGGGACCTTTAAAGACCTTGTTTGTTTCTTGGTGTTTGGCAGATTCATTGCATGTGTGTCTTGGCATGGGGTTCTTTTTATTTATCCTAATTAATGATTAGAGAACTTCTGTCTTTTATCAATTCTGGAATATCTTAAACCATTAGCTCTTCAAATATTATCTATCTAACAGCCTATTATTTCCTTTTAAAATTCCAGTTAGGCAAGTCTTAGTTCTCATCATCTCTGATTATACTTTTTATCTCTGTGCTACATTGTAGGTTTTTTTTGTTTTGTTTTGTTTTTTGGCATCTATCTTCCAATTGAGTAATTCTCGGTCATTCTGGGACTATTTCTAGTTCAGCAATTCATGCTTCAACTGGGTCTATATGTGATTTAAGCTACCTTTTGAGTTTTTATTTTCATTTATTATATTTTTCATTTCTACAAGTTTTCTTTGAGTCTTTCAAATATGTTGGGTCATTTTGAGACACGATTTTAATGACATTTATTTCCTCAAGTGTATCACACACATATTTTTTAGATTTTATGTGAATCTAATCATTCTAAAATCTGAAGATGCTGTGCTTTACTTTCCTCATTTGGCAAATGAGGATGAAGTAATTGTTACTCATTGGATTATTTTGAAGATTTGAAGGATTTCATAAATGTAAAGTTCTTAAGACGAGTATCTAGCACACTACAGAGTAACCTATACAAGTGTTAGCTCTTTTTATTATTATTGCTGCTGTTATTGGTAGAATTGATTTTGGTGTTTACTGACCCCAAGTGGCTTATTTTTCTCATGTGTTAAGTAATTCTGATTGTGAGCTCATATTCCTAATTATTGAACATTGTAAGTTGAAATTTCTTAAGGCTTGTATGTAAGGTGCATTCCTCCAAAGAGGACTTGCATTAGCTCTTGTTGAGCCATGGGGATACTACCAATCTCAATTAGTTTAAGTTATGTTTTTATGCCACATTGACAGTGTGAATTTTAGCTCCAATTTTGCCTGAGGGTTGGGTAGTGGTTATAAATTCTCGGGGGAGATTTCCTTCTCCTTTACTCAGAAACAAGACTAAATGAGGCAAACTTCCTTACTATCACTCTTTTTGAGATAGGTTCTTTGCTAGTTTGCCTGGTGAGGTTGTCACTTTTTAGGGTTCAGGTTTTGTGGGCGTCACTGATTGCAGGTTCCTTTGTATGACGATCCTATATCTTCAAGGTCATTCACTATCTTAAGTGCCCACTCACTTTTGTGACTTCTTTTGTGGGGGTCATTTTTGACTAATTTTCTTGCCATCCCACCTGTTCCTTAAAAATTTATTTTGAACATTTTATCCAGAATTTGCAGGTGTTTTGAACCCAGAGGTTTTTCCTGTAAAGGGTAGTACATATTTCAGGCTTGTAGGCCCTACAGTCTTTGTTATAACTATTAGTTTTGCTGTTATAACTATTAGTTTTGTTATAACTATTAGTTTTGTTATAACTATTAGCACAAAAGCAGCCATAAACAATATGTAAACAAATGAATATGACTGTGTTTCCATTAAACTTTATTTACACAGCTAGGTAACAGACTAGATATGACCCATAGGCTTTAGTTTTCCAATCTCTGTTCTATAACATAGCTGAGATTAGAAGACACTGGAATAATATTTTTGAAAGTGTTGCTTCTAAGATTCTTAGCACTCACTACTAAAGGGGAACCACCTTTGGTTACTGCATGATTGAAACCTAACACTTTGTTTTCTGTTGTGCTTGGAACTGAAAGTCTCATAGGAGAACATTCAGAGAAGTTTCCAAGGAGACAACCTGGGTATTGGGGTGTTGGGGGCGGGGGGCGTGAAATAGGACACAGCTAGAGTTGAGATGTGGGGAAAACTTGAATTGTTTGTTTGCCTTTCAAGTTCTTTTTGAGGGGAGTCTCTTTGATGTTTGGAATGAATCCTGCTGGATCACTGCTGCTGCTTGGAGATCTTCAAGTCTTTTCCCTCTTTCCCATTGCTCATGATGTCTGTATAACCTGCAAACATACATCCCACTCTGCTACTGAGAGACCTTTTTTTTATACTTCAGTGATGGTATAGGCCAGGATAATTGCCTTTCCTTTTTTCTTAAACCAACTGAAGTCCTCACCACAAATTCATGTTAAGTTTTGACTGACTCATTGGGCCTGAACAATAATGTTATTTCTCGCAGTGCACTGAAAAGGGGATAGAAATGGAAAGGTGGATGTATTTCTTAATTTCCTGAAATCTAAGTGCTGAAATCTCACTTTTACAACAAAGGCAGCTTTGATAGAATTTTTGGAAACAAGCTTTCTGCTGAGCTGGTTGTGAAATCTCATTGGTTGGAGAGAATTCCAGTGCATTTCAGTGAGCACAAGTGCTGGAAGTTGTAGGTAAGGAGTCAGGAGTATAGTCTGCAGGTGCAGAAAAAAGATTTTCTTAGAGACCCCCAGCTCTAAATGTAGTTGCTCAAAAGCTGGACTTTGCCATTCACTTATTTGAAGCCCTTTGAAAATCTGACATTTCTATGGGCCTATTAGTGGCGAGGCGGCGGGGAGGGGGGAGCTTGCCAGCTTAGAGGTTAATTGTGCTAATTAACAGAAAGGACACAGGCTTCAGAAAGTGCCTCCGTGGACTGGAAAATTTTCCCAATATTTCATTAGGGTGATTTCGAAAAGGTTGCAGGCAAATGGCACCTTTCGCTTTAAAAATCGAAACCGTGGCTTTTGAACCATTTTTAAAGTTTGAGTTTGAAAAGTCCACTTTTAGTGTTATTTAGAAACTTGTCCCATGGGAAGTCTGGAGGAAAGGAAAGACTGCATTTTCAAGTGCATCATTCTCGCCCTTCATTCCTTTATGCTCAGCTTTTTATTTCTTGACACTTATTTTAAAAGCCTTATTCTCTCCTCCTCGCAGTGCAAACCCACGCCATATCCCTGAATCTGTTGTGGAAGAACAGACTGGAAGACATCTGCCTCTTGCCTTATTTTTTTTAATTCCTCTAAATGATAGAGCCAAGTCTCCACACCAGAGCTCCCTCTCCCTGAACAAACCAAATGGCGGCTGTTGGCAGCGCACTGACAGCTTGTTAATGGAGGAATCCTTGACAGTGTGACAACCTGCCTGGGCTGCCGCGGGAAGCCAAATCCGCCCCCACACAAACCCGAGTAATTAACAGGTGGGGAAAAATAGCAACTAACTGCTGCTGAGGAGAGGAAAAATAGTCAACCTAGTGAATTATGTATATTAAAGTATAATATCTCTTTTGCAATCCCTTTTCTAGTTCTTGCTAGCAAGCTCTACTGGAAAGTGCTTTGACTTTGGAGTCAGGTGAGCCTGGATTTGAATCAAAGTTTGGCCACCTACTGGCTGTGTGTGACTCTGGGAAATTTCCCTTCACTGAACTTCCATTTGTGATCAGTACTGTGGTCAGATACTATTTGTGAAGGCACAATTATAGATGCCACTTATCAGTGTTCAATTGTCAAAACCTCTTTTTATGATGATGGATTTGCCAGATTGTTCTTGTAGTGCTGTCGAGTTTCTTTTTTGGTAACGTAATTTTTTTGGTTCATTAAGTTTGAATTTTTTTTTTTATTGTTATTATACTTTAAGTTCTAGGGTACATGTGCATAACGTGCAGGTTTGTTACATGTGTATACTTGTACCATGTTGGTGTGCTGCACCCTTCAACTCGTCAGCACCCATCAAAGTTTGAAATTGTTATTTCTACTTGGCAAATTGGGTCTTTTATTATTAGACAGTGACTTCCTTTCTCTCTAGTCATACTTTTTGTCTTGAAATTATTTTTTGTGATGTTATTTTATGTGCTGATATATATACACACACACACACACATACATACTATATATATATTCCATTTATTTGATAATATTTTTGTGCTTTCAGGTTTCATGAGGTTAGGGGTATAGGATGAAGGGTATAGAGAAAGGGAGGGTTCTGGTTGGCTATTGCTTGGTTAAGGCATCCACACTGCTTGGGCTGACTGTCTAGACATCCTTCTCTCTCCCAGCTCCCTCAAACCCAAAATATATTTGCATGAATTCCAATAAAGAAATCTTCTCAGAGAAGCATGTGCTGGTACCACCCACACCAGCTGGAACATTTTTCTCTCAGCTCTGACCTACACTAGAAGAGACGTGGAAGGAATTTTTCAAAACTTAGATCTGTAGCTCTTGATATAATACCAGGGGCTAAAATGAATTTAGAAGATATTCAAGGCTGTTTAAAATAGTTATTTTCAAGCTTTCTTCGGTCTTAGATCTCTTTGTGAATGTGATGAAAGCTCTGGACTCTTGCCTCAGGAAAAATGCAAAAACACAAGATTTTCAAACAACTTTAGCTGATCCTATTTTTATGTCCTAAAGTTCCAGAGGCTCCAGGTAAAAGGACCGTTATTTAAATACTCATGTTGTAAACATTAAGGGATAAAAGGCAGGATGGAAAATTTAAATACATGCAAATATATTGGTCAGAATGGTGGACTGTGCAGTCCTGGCAGAAAATTTGCTGCCTACTCTTTTCTAGGGTGGGATCGGATTTGTCAGCGAGACCATGCCCTGAGCAGAATTGCCCTGTGGCAAAGGAAACCTGAGCTGAGGACTAAATGAGAAAGTCTAGAACCGGTGAACGCACATGACCTCAGCTGAAAGCCTTTAGGAAACATCCGCCCAAGGAGGGCTCCATAACCCAGGGCTCACTGAAGAAAATTCCAACTGAAGATAAGCTGAGAGAAAATATCACAAAACACTGAAAAATACCACTGTGAAAGGTAAGTTAGCAGGTGCAACAAATAAAGCACTCATGCCTAAGAAAGTAGAAGTAATAAAATCAGCTGAAAAAGTACTCTAATATAAGTGTGTTGAAAATATTCAAAGTTTAAAAAAGGATAGAATCCGTAAAATCGGACATAATGGAAGAGGATAGAAAAACTTGGGGAAAAAGAGCTAGTTTCAGAAAAGAAAAATATTGGTATGGGTATAGAGGAAACTTTAAGGACACTTTAATCAGTGGACTACACAGGATTAAGAAGTGAATAAGTAAAATGGAAAGATTATCAGAGGAAATCATCCAGAATACAGCAGAGACAGAAAAAGAGTTGAGGGCTAAGAAAGAGAAGTTGAAGAATGGCAGAATTTGAAATTTCACCCTAGACACACAGTAATGAAACTACAACATTCATGTATCACGAGAAAGTTCTAAAAGTTATCAGGCAGAAGAGACAGATTATTTTAAAAAGTCACTGTCAGACAAAAGGCAGACTCTTGTTATCATAATAGATGCCAGGAAATAAAAAGGAAAGAAATAAAAATATCTCCAGGGTACGGAGGCAAAATTGTGTGAGTACATATCTTACTAATGCATATGATGCAAAACCCAAAACAAACCAAAACAAAAACTGAACACCCGCTGGAAATGTGTTCATGTTGAGTTCATTCTGGTTGATTAAATTGAAAAAAACATTATTTTTATCTCAATATTTCTGTATTGTTCACATTCCTTGTAATAAACATGATTTACTTGTGTAATGAAATGAATATTAAAAAACAAATCATCTGAGTTGAAATTATAGGAACTTTGTTCATGTCTGTTCAAATTAAGCTCATTCTTTAAGGCTTAGCTCTAATAACATAAAACAAATTTATTGATATATAATATTTGTACCTTTTTATGGTATAGATGTATTTTGCTACATACATTGAATATGTAATGATCAAGTCAGGGTATTTAGAGTAATCATCTTGACTATTTATCATTCCTATGTGTTGGGATCATTTCAAGTCCTCTCTTCTAGCAGTTTTGAAATATATATTTTTAAAATTATAGTCACCCCACTCTGCTATCAAACATCGGAACTTATTTCTTCTATTTAACTGTATGTTTGTACCCATTAACCAGTCTTTCTTCATGCTCCCACTCCCAAATCTCCAAAGACACCCTTCCCAATATTGGATAACTATCGTTCTAACATCTACCTCCATGACAGCAACTCTTCTAGTTCCCACATATGAGTGAGAACATGAAATATTTGTCTTTTTGTGCCTAACTTATTTCACTTAACATAATGACCTCCAGTTTCATCTATGTTGCTGCAAATGACAGGATTTCATGTTTTCTTTTATGGCCAAAGAGTATTCTACTGTGTATATGTACTACATTTTCTTTATTCATTCATCCAACGGTGGACACTTGGATTGATTCCATAATTTTGCTATTGTGAGCAGTGCTGCAATAAATTTGAAGGTGCAAGTATCCCTTTAATATACTGATTTCCTTTCCTTTGGATAAATACCTGGTAGAAGGATTACTGGATTTTCTGGTATTTCTATTATTAGTGTATCTGAGAAATGTCTACACTGTTTTCCAGAATGGCTATACTAATTTACATTCACACCAACAGTGTATAAGAGTTACATTTTCTACAGTATGGAGATTCCTTAAAGAGCTAAATGTAGATCTATCATTCAATCCAGCAATCTCACTACTGGGTATCTACCCAAATAAAAAGAAGTCATTATATGAAAAAGATACTTGCACATGTAAGTTTGTAGAAGCACAATTCACAATTGCAAAGATGTGAAACCAACATAAGTGCCCATCGACTAATGAGTGGATAAAGAAAATGTGGTGTATAGACAGCATGGAATATTACTCAGCCATTAAAAGGAATGAAATAGTGTCTTTTGCAGTAACTTGGATGGAGCTGGAGGCCATTACTCTAAGTGAAGTAACACAGGAGTGGAAACCCAAAAACCATGTGTTCTCACTTATAAGTGAGAGCTAAGCTATGAGTAAGCAAAGGCATACAGAGTGATATAATAAACTTTAGAGACTCCAAATTGGGAATGTGGGAGGCAGACTAGGGATAAAACAACAACAAAACAACAACAACAACAACAACAACAACCAAACTACACATTAGGTTCAATGTACACTACGCAGGTGATGAGTGCACTAAAATCTCAGAATTCACTACTATACAATTTGTCATCTAACAAAAACCCACTTGTATCCCAAAAGCTATTGAAATAAAAACTTAATAAGGAGTTGTGTTTTATCTATATACTCACCAGCATCTGTTATTTTTTTTTGTCTTTTTAATAATAGCCATTGTGACCAGAGTAAAATGATATCTCATTGTGGTTTTCAGTTACATTTCCTGGATGATTAGTGAATTGAGCATTGTTTCATAGATCTTTTGGCCATTTTTATGTCCTCTTTTGAGAAATGTGTATTTATGTCCTACTTTTGTGGGATTATTAGTTATTTTTGCTATTGAGTATTTTGTATATTCCAGATATTAATCCCTTCTTGAATGAATAGTTTGCAAATATTTTCTTCTTTCAAAAGATTGTCTCTTCACTCTGTTGATTGTTTCCTTTGCTGTGCAGAAGCTTTTTAGTTTAATATAGACCCATTTATCAATTTTTGTTTTTGTATTCTGTGCTTTTGAGGTCTTAATCATAAAATATGTGCCTAAACCAATGTCCTGTAATGTTTACTCTAGGTTTTCTTCTAGTAGTTTTATAGTTTTGGGTCTTACATTTATGTCTTTAAACCATTTTGAGTTGAATTTCTTATGAGATGAGAGATAGAAGTCTAGTCTCATTATTCTGCATATGAATGTCCAGGTTTTCCAGCACCACTTGTTGAAGAGGGTGTCCCTTTCCCAATGTATGTTCTTAAGAACTTTGTTGAAAATCAGTTGGCTGTGAATATGTGGATTTATTTCTGGGTTTTCTATTCCGTTTCATTGATCCACATGTCTATTTTTATACCAAGATCATGCTGTTTTGGTTAATACCCTTGTGATACTTGTTAATACCCAAAATGTCACTTTCAGAAATATTTTGAAATCAGGTAGTGTGATGCTTCTACTTTTTCCTTCAAGATTGCTTTGGTTTTTTGAACTCCTTTTTGGCTCTATATATATTTTAAGATTTTTTTCTATTTCTGTGAAAATGTCATTAGTAGTTTGATGGGGTTGTGTTAGATATGTAGATTGCTTTGGGTCATGTGGCCATTGTAACAGTGTTAATTCTTCTTATCCATGAGCATGGGATGTCTTTTTGTTTCCTCTTCAATTTCTGTCAGTATTTTTTAGGTTTCTTTATAGAGGTCTTTCACCTCCATGGTTAAATTTAATCCTAGGTATTTTTTTTTTTTTTTTTTTGGTAGCTGTTGTAAATGGGATTGTCTTCTTGATTTCTTTTAGCTAGTTCATTAATGGTGTACAGAAACAATACCAACTTGTGTATTTTGATTTTGTATCCTGCAGCATTACTGAATTTGCTTATCAGTACTAAAAGTTATTTGCTGGAGTGCTTAGGATTTTCTAAATATATGATCATGTTGTCTACAAAGAGGGATAATTTGACTTCCTCTTTCTAATTTGTATGCCTTTTATTTTTTTCTCTTGCCTGATTGCTCTGGTTGTAATAGGGTTTATCATGAAACATTTTTAGTTTTTATCAAATGTTTATTCTGCAACTATTGAGATGATCATATGGCTTTCAGTCTTAATTCTGTTGATGTGATATATCATGTTTATTGATTTGCATATGTTGAACCATCCTTGCAATCTGGTATAAATCCCATCTGATCATGGCGTATTAACTTTTGGATGTCTTGTTGAATTCAGTTTGCTACTATTTTGTTGAGAACTTTTGCATCCATATTTATCAGAGATATTGGTCTATAGTTTTCAATTTCTGTAAATAATTTGAGGAGAATTAGTACCAGTTTTTCTTTATAAGTTTGGTAGAATTGGGCAATAAAATAATCAGTCCTGGGCTTTTTGTTTGAAAGTATTTTCATTATTATTCAATCTTGTTACTCATTATTGGTCTGTCCAGATTTTCTGTTTCTTTCTGATTCAATTTTGGTAAGTTGTAAATGTCTACAAATTTATCAATTTCCTCTAGGCTTTTCAATTTGTTAGCATATAGTTGTCAATAATACTCTCTGATAATTTTTTGTATTTTTGTGGAATCAGTTATATCTACTTTTTCATTTTTGATTTTATTTTGGCGTTCTCTGCTTTTTTCCTGCATAGTCTACCTACTGGTTTATTGATTTTGTTTATCTTTTCAAAAAACCAACTTTTTGTTTCATTGATCCTTTGTGTGTTTTTAGTCTCTATGTTTCATTCTGCTCTGATCCTTATTATTTCTTTTCTTCTACTAATTTTTGTGGTTTGTTCTTGCCTTTCTAGTTCCTGAAGTTGCATCATTAAGTTGTTTATTTGAAATCTTTACTTTTTTGATATAGGCATTTATTTCTGCAAACTTTATTCTTAGGACTGTTTTAGCAGTATCCCATAGGTTTTAGTATGCCATTTTTCCATTTTCATTTGTTTTAAGATTTTTTTTGATTTTTTTCTTAATTTCTTCATTGACCTGCTTGTCCTTCAGGAGCATGTTATTTGTACAGTTTTGAAAATTAATCTTGTTATTGATTTATAGTTTTATTCCATTGTGATCTGAGAAAATACTTGATATAGTGTCAATTTTTAAAAAATTGGTTGAGGCTTGTTTTGTTGTCTAACATATGGTCTTTCCTGGAGAATGTTTCATGTGAGGTTGAGCAGAACAAGCATTCTGCAGTTACTGGATAAAATGTTATGTATATGTTCATAGTTCCAGTCAGTCTAAAGTGCAATTTAAATCTAATGTTTCTTTATTGATTTTTGGTCTAGATGCTCTAATGTTGAGGATGGGGTATTGATGTCCTCAACTGTTACTGTATTGCAGTCTGTCTCTCCATTTAGATCTAGTAATATTTGCTGCATATATCTTCGTGCTCCTGTGTTGGGTGCTTATGTATTTAAAATTATTATATTCTCTTGCTGAATTTATTTCTTTATCATCACATAATGACCATCTTTGTCTCTCTTTACTGTTTTTGATTTGGAATCTGTTTTATCTGATGTAAGTACAGCTACTCCCACTCACTTTTGATTTCTGTTTGTGTGGAGTGTCTTTTCCATCCCTTTACTTTCAGTCTATGGGCCTTCACAGTTGAAGTGAGTTTCTTGTAGGAAGCATATAGTAGAGTCATATTTTTAAATCCATTCAACCAGTCTATCTCTTTTAAGTGAAACATTTAATTCATTTACATTTAAGGTTATTGTTGACATATGAGGGCTTATTCTTGTCATTTTGTTAATTATTTTCTGGTTGTTTTATATATTCTTTTCCCTTTCTTTCTCTGTTGTTGTTTATTTTTGCAGTTTGTTGATTTTATGTAGTGTTAACATTTAAGTTCTTTCTCTCTTCCTTATTTGTGTGTTAACTCTACCAGTGAGTCTTATACTTTCGTGTGTTTTAATGATAGTAGATACCATCCTATCACTTCCAGGTGTAGGATTTTCCTAATAATTTTTTTGTAGGGCTGATTTAGTGGTGATAAATATCCTCAGTTTTTATTGGTCTCAGAAGACTATTTCTCCTTCATTTATAAAAGATAACTTTGCTGGGCATAGTATTCTTGACTGCCAGTTCTTTCTTTTTAACATTTTGAATGTATTATCCTGTAAGGTTTCTGCTGAGAAATCTGCTGTTAGTCTGATGGTGTTTTCCTTGTATGTGATGAGATGCTTTTCTCTTGCTGTTTTTTAGAATAATCTCTTTGTCTTTTGCTTTTGACAACTTGATTCTAATATGCAGCGTAGAAGAACGTTCTGGGCTGTTTTTACTTAGGGACCACTGAACTGCCTGTATCTGGATGTCTGAATATCCTCCTAGACTTGGGAAGTTTTCAGTGATCAGTTCATTAAATAGATTTTCTATGCCTTTCATGTCTTCACCTATTGGAACATCCAAAATTTATATTTTCCATCACTTTATGGTGTCTTATATATCACATAGGATTTGTTAATTGTTTTTTTCTTTATTTTTGTGTGACTGGTTTATTTCAAAAGACCTGTCTTCAAGTTCTAAGAGTCCTTCTTCTGCTTGTTCTAGTCTATTGTTGAAGTCTCTGATAATATTTTTACTTCATTCATTGAATCCTTCAGTTCCAGGATTTCTGCTTGGTTCTTTTTTATATATCTCTCTCTCCTGAATTTCTCACTCATATCCTAAATTATTTTTCTGGTGTCTTTGTATTGTTTATCTGTGCTCTATTGCATCTCACTGAGCTTCTTTAATATCATTATTTTGAATCCTTTTTCTGGCATCTCATAAATTTCTGTTTCATTGGAATCTATTGCTGCAAAATTATGTATTCCTTTAGATGTGTCATATTTTCTTATTTTTTTGTGTATATGTCTGTGTGTATGTGTGTCTGTGTCCTTACATTGATGCCTGGACATCTAGTATAACAGTCGCCTCTCCCATTTTTTTGGATTAGTTTATTTTGTGGAAGATTTTTTCATGAAGATGTATCTATAGTTTTGGTTTGGTGGAACACTTTAGCTTTGATTTGTGATGTGTGCCGTAGTTTATTCTCTGTATGATTTGTTGGACTGTAAACAGTGTCAGTTGTGTCTGTGATTTCCTTTGTGTTGTAGGCTGTGGTTGTTCGTGGAAGCTGTGGTGAGGTTTTGCTGGCCAGTCCTCAGGCCCCAGTGGTGGAAGCATGGGTCAATCTCTCCTGTTTTTGAGACCTTGGGTGTCAGTGACTCCAAATGGGTTGATTCTTGGCTTGCTTAGATCCTGGCAGGGGCATGGTTGGACTCAGCAGGTGGGCAGGTCTTTAGTTCCCTGGATGGTGTGCATAGCCGCAGTAGAGGTGGTGGGACAACTCTTTGAAGCATCACATGTTGGTGTTAATGGTAGCTGCAATGGGCTTGGCAGGCCAGTTTTCGGGCTGTATTATGGCATATTCTGGTAGGTGCTTGCTTTGGTGGTAGTGACAGGCTATGTGGGTTCATCCTCAGGCCCTCAGGAGGAGTGTATAGATGTTAGCAGTGGAGTACGGGGTGAGGCAATTCCCAGACTCCTGGATGTTGTGCTTAGTCACTCAGGAGGTAGTGTCCAGCTGGGTGGGCCTGTCCTCAGGCCCTCTGGATGGTGTGCTCAGGTGCTGGCTGTGGTGATCAGTGTAGAGTGATCGCTAGACCCCCTGGTGGAGTGCTTGGGTGTCTGCAACAGTTGCAGCAGTTGAGGTAGGGAAAGCCTGAAAAGACAGGGGCATGAGCAAGTGTGCTGCAGCTCTACTGCCAGTGGGGAGATGTGGAGATGTCTTGGCTGCAGTCATAGGCAGGCAGTTCTCAGGTTCTGGGGAGTGTAAACTTCAGCCCCTGCGGCCAGTGGCTATGGCAACAGCAGTGGCAGCCATGGGAAAAGCCAGTCCTCAGGGGGCATTCAAGTGAACAGTGGCCCTGCTTCTTTGGCCCATAGCCACCTCAGCAGTGGGTGCTGTGGGCACTTGCACAGTCTGTTTTTCAGGCTTGTGTGTGGCAGTCCTGCTGCTGAGGCTGAGGGTTGCTGTTTATGCAACCCCCAAGTGGTTCTCAGGCTCTAGGGAGTGTGCACTTTGGTCCCTTTTGTCCTGCGGGCAGCCTCTCCAAGGTGTAAGACTCAGTTTGTGCTAGAATTCTGGGGACCCTACTACTCCACAGGGTGCCACCAGCATTGTGCTAATGCAGCCCTCCAGGTGAATGTGAGAGGATGTTAGTGGGGTCCAGGAATATAGCAATGCAAGGGCTTTTTGTGTCCCAGGGAAGGATGCAGTATGGTGGGTGTTGGACTCTCAAAATGGCACCGTGCTGCATCTGCTTAGTGTAGCAAGGGAATAATCTCATGGATAAAATATTATTGGAGTGCCACCTGGGAGGATCTTCAATATGGCTCACTAGAAGGCATCTGGCACTTACCACAGTGGGTGTTTGGGATCCAGCATAGGCTCCCTCTGTAGAGTAAAGCCATCACATAGTCTCCAGGCAGCTTCCTATGTTCGTCTTAGGGCCCGTGAAGATCAAGGAGTTCTCCTGTGGCTAGGGTTACAAGAGTTCATGGTAAACATATGGATTGCTGAGGATCTGTCACTTTCTTTTTTCCCATACTGGGGAGGCTTTCCAGGCTCCCAGCCAATCTTGGCCAACCTGGTGCCTCACTTCCCTCTGCTTCTGTGCCTCAGGTATTTCCTCACTTCTCTGTTGAATTCCAGTGTTCTCTCTTAGATGCTGTATTAAAGTGACATTATCTAATTGCTATTTTATTTCTTTGTAGAGGAGGTAAGTGCCAGATGTTTTCTGGTCAGCCATATTGAAGCCCCTGTCAAGTGGCACTCCAATAATATTTTATCTGTGATGTCATTCCCTTGTATTTTCACCTCTTTAGGGCAGACTTATCTATTAGGCACAGTAAGTATAGGATCAAGTGTCCGTGAAAACATTAAAATTTTAAATGCTTTTAAAATCAGAAGGAAAAGATAAATATAATAATAAATACCTAGTAATAGATCCACCATGGATTATACATCTTTATATCGATGTTAGTGGTAAAATATAATTTTTAGTTGTATTTCAGCTAGTTTGTTTCAATGGAAGAAGGGGCCCATGAAAGTCAAAGTTTCAGGGCCCATGAAACTTACAAAGCAATCCTGAATCTCCATTGCTCTGTTTTAACTTTGGTTTCCCTAAAGCAGAGCCTAGGACAAGGCTCTACAGGCAGCTTTTCTGGGAAGTTATCTAAGAAGCAGATGTGAGGGCATAGGGTGAGACAGAGAAAGAGGAAAATCCAATAAAAGCATGTGTTCTCAAGGTCACTGATGTGGGCAACATGATTCACTTTCACCAGGACCTCCATTTCTAGAGATGCATAGAATGCCTTCTAGTATTCCTGGACATCTGAAGGATAGGCGGCCGGGATATTTATCCACTGACTTCTCTTATCCGTTTGTTGAGTATTGCTCCTAGAGGCTGTAAACTCTCTTCCGCAGGGCTTGCATAAACGCTGGGTGCCCCAACACTGGAGCAGGTCCTGAAGAGGAAAATGTAAAGTGCTTGTTAAAGGTGAGATGCGGCCGGGCTTTGGGAGGCCGAGGCGGGCGGATCTCCTGTGTTAGCCAGGAGATCGAGACCATCCTGGCTAACACAGTGAAACCCCGTCTCTACTAAAAAAGGCAAAAAAATTAGCCGGGCGTGGTGGTGGGCGCCTGTAGTCCCAGCTACTTGGGAGGCTGAGGCAGGAGAATGGCGTGAACCCGGGAGGCGGAGCTTCTGACGAGGTAAGAGCTGTGTTGCATTCTATCTCTATAAACCTAGCAACTAGTACTGGGCCTGGAATGTAGTTGGAGCTCTGTAATGCAGAAGCAAGGTGGATGGGAATAATCAAATCATACACCCCTCCCAGAAGGGTCCTAGGGGAAAGATATTGACCAAGATTCTAATTTGTGGATATAGTTAATGAAACCTAAAGTAGACTGAGGGAGTTGCCCTAGATCATACAGCATGTTGGTTTAGAGAGGGAACCAAATTCAGTCTTCCTAAATCCTAGTCCAGGACTCCCTTATTGAAATTAAATCAATAATATATATTAAGTATGAGGAATTCCACAAGGAATTTATATTTCAAGTCACAAAAGAACTATGTGATACATGAAACATGGATGAATGCAAAATGAGCTCTTGCATATATACAAATAAAATGGTATGGGAGATGGGAAATGGGGATAATGTGAAATTAATTCCAGGGAAACTGAATCAGATTCTTGGTGTTTTGAGTTACATCACTTTGAGTCACATCACTTTGTCCCCTCTTCTCTTCAGCTTCAACTCTGTTCAGCCATGCAACCTCACTCTCATGCTAAACGCACCAACCTCCACCTTTTTTTTTTTTTTTTTTTTTTTTTTTGAAGACGGAGCCTCCCTCTGTTCGCCAGGCTGGAGTGCAGTGGCGCGATCTGCTCACTGCACAG